AGAGAGAGAGAGATTGCATCACTGCGCAGCTGAATCGTCATCAGGCGCGCATTGAAAGAGTCTTAATTGTCGGTGGTGTCAATTAGTCACCCACAATTTGCGCTTGCCATTTTCTAAGGATTTTCAGTGCTGTGGCTGGTTTAAAGTGGTCTGTATTGCGCAACTCCAGACTCCGAGTGCCTTACTCGACGCTCAATCATAGTACTTACGCTGGATTTCCTATCTCAAACGAAACGCTGACGCATGTTTTCGATTCGAACCAATTAATAGCTACCGTGCTGCTGCTGATCTCAAGATGTTACGGTAACGTTAGAATGGGGGGCTTTTGAACGAACTTCTTTTTTACCACTTGCAAAAAATATACTCTGTAAAAGAAGGGCAGTGAGCATGCTTCTTCTTGATTTTAAATAACCTTGTAAATTCGAACATATATTATATGGAAAGAATGCGCTAAATTAGTGTTTATTTTACCAATGAAGCGTTCTTTGAATTCTATACTTGAAGAAAAGAAGTTTTCGGCTTTAACATAGCAGTAAGTTGGGTGGGTAAATCGACCCAAATGTTATAAAATTCATGGCTGCGTGAAAGCCTTCCCTACTGTGTGGGTTCGACTCCTACCGAGGCCGCGAGTTTTTTCGCAATTGGGTCAGTTGAATTATTTAAATCTGTCAACCCCCCTAATAACAAATATACCTTCTAAATTGCTGAATAATTATGAAATCCACTGGTCATTACGCTTGATCGCAACGTCTGCAAACTACACACTGTATGCATTCTGTCTAAGGAACATAAAAGACTTCTCTGGAATATCAGAAAGACGTAACACAGCCTATTAATATTGGTCGTGTTGTGTACTATATCGACAACATTAATAAATTGACGGATAGGATGTACTGTGACTAAAAAATTTGAAAAATGGCATAATTAGAAACCTCCCAAAATCGAAAGACCCCTTTTTAAATTTGAAAATTTGAAGAAGGCGTAGTTTACTGCCAACAAATTTGAAGAAAGTATGCTTCGTCCGCTTTTTTTCTACAAAATATATTTTAATTTATAGGAGCGTCCAAAATCGGTGAGAAAAAATGCATACTACTGAAGTTGCGCAGTGTTTGCAAAGTGTGCTATTTGTAGACTGTCAGAAAGAAGTTTGGTCAAAAGCTGACATCACGACTTCACTGGAACCTCTTGGGATAAGCCCACATGATTTAACAGCATTACTTAAGTAATTTGTTCGAATAAAAAAGACACATTTCAGGCTTTCGGTTGGCATTTCATATGAAATAGGGAATTTACTGTAGTTACACTTCTTGACGTGAATCCTTTATCTCTAAACCCCGCTTATCACGTATTTGTGAGCACGCTTCATAGCAGGAGGATATATTGCCGTACAAAAGTTTGCCCAATGGGGAATAGTTGGGGGCTAGGACCCTAGCGTTTTTTCGAGATGGTGTCTGGGACTGACGATGACAGTCTCTCATGCTTGGGTTCGAGTGCAGATGCAAAAGTATAATCCACCGGCTGTATCTTCTCTTGATCATCCCTTTTCAAGTGGTCGAGTACATGGTTCCACTTCACCATATATATTACAATTTGCTGTGCGACTGGGCGAGCAAGTTTCCTCATCAGATCGGTGTGCGCCCTGCTAAAGGACTCCCTTTACTTTAATGTATTATATTTACTTTAAGTTAATAGGGTCTTCACACCAATGTCTATTACTCTTCAATATACTGAATTACACTGAAGTTGCCTTTCTATCGATGTCTCGGTTTCTACTATTTGTTTATTCGGTGCTTGTTGCCTTTTGCGCTATCTTCTCACCCATCGACTGCCCTCCTTACAGTGTGACGGTGGCAATTGCCTCTTCCAACTGTTCATCCAATTGGCGATCATCATGGTGGGCAAACAGTTTCTCAACTTTGTCACCGAGAACACCATTCCGTGAGTGTTTTGTTTTCGCCACTTTTCTTTCTCCTTGTATTACCACGCCCAAGTGACGTGCACATCTGCTCACCCTCCCTGCCTTTTGTGGGCTTTTCATAAAATGCGACACTTGACGCTTGGCCGCATACATCAAGGAAAAAATGCGCGGGGAAAAGTAGTTTAAGCGGTTCACTTCATATACTGTCTTGCGGGATTTTACACCGAAAGTAGAACAAAGTGTGCAAGCCTACATTTGTTCGAATAGCAATCGAGGGGAAGATGGAGCGCCAGATGCCTAAAAACAGAAACGGCAAAGAGTGGGAAGAAGAAACGTACTGCAGGGTGGTAGGGTCTTTTTGAAAGTCCAAGGGATATAGACGGCCAACCAGACAAATAAGGTGGGGCATAAGTAGGACTCTTATTTCTGCCTCCCTGAGCTAACGAATGTGTAGTCGCGGGTTTATAACTGCTACTTATTTTTATGGAAATAAGAGTCGTGGAAGTAGTAGCGGGATTCCCAAGAGGGGTTGCAGTAGAAGCAACCCGTCTG